GGAGAAAGAAAAGCCAGATTCTCTTACAAGCAGCTTGATGTGCCAGCTAGATATTTGGCAAGAGTTCAGGAGGAAAGCTGTCTGGAACATTGTAAGACTTGTAGCTTGGACTGGATTATTTATTTATTTTTTTTGTATTTTTCAAAAGGAATATATTACTCTGTGAAGTTCCTTTATGTAACACCGATGCATTTGATTTCCTATAAACTCTCACAACTTTCCCCTGCTTCATCTCGTGGGAGACTTGCCGTGCAGTTGGTTTACTATCAGCTCAGCTACTGAAGGCACGGATGCAGCTTTTGGTAGACGAGGCTTTACTCTGAAATGTTGCTGACTGACAGATTCCTCTGCAGCCATAGACTGGAGTGGCTCTGCTTATTCCTGGGTTGCGGTCTAAATCATCGGCTTGTTCTAAATGCCAGATGTTTGACTGCAGGAGGGTATACACACAGTGTGCAGGAATGTGGGGTCGCCAGCAGAGGGAGATGTAACCTCAATTGCGTCACTGGAGCGTCTTCTTCTGACCAATTTAACGACCTGTCATTTGATCCTTTTGAAATATCCCCTAATTGCTATGATGAGGAGGAAATCTGGAGTCATGCTGGTGTTGAACAAACTGCAGTAGAAGCTGAGGTGAAGAATGGCCTGAAGACAGAGCCTCAGATGTTCTTTTAAGAATGCTAAGTTACAGTTTTTGAATTCAAAAGCATTTATGGCAATCGATAAGAGCAATCACAATAATACTTATTTATTCAACTTATTCTGTAAAAGTGTAAATAATTAGAAAAAGAATTAAAAATAACTCAAGTGGGTTAAAGTGTACATGAAATATATTTTCAGTGTGTTCTAAAACTCAAGGCAGCAGGAAGCAAAAACACCTGACTGCTTAACAGAATCTAAGTGACAGCAACAACAACTAGCTGCGTGAAATGAGATGCGTAAGGTTAACAAAGTAATTAAAATCAAAAAGAGTGTGACAGTATTTTGACGAGATTCAAGCTGTTTAGACTGCAGATAATTTAGTCCTGGATGATTCCGTTTGTGTGACAGCTTTCCCGTTTCATATTTTAGACTTAGCCAATCTGCACGGCGACACTCTGACCCATAAAGTTTCTGCTTTTCTCTCCTCCAAACTGCACGTCAAAGCAGACGAAAACTGTTTTCATCAACAGCTGTGAGTCTGTTTGAAGTGTAAAAAAGTGTAAAATATTCAAGATAAGAACACGAGATAAATTTAGATTAGATTTAGAGTTTTTTTTTTTGTCTTTTTCCAGATGTGTAAGAGAGAGTGAAAGCTATAATCTCCTCTCGTTGAGGATTTTTAATCCAACAGCTTTGTTATTTAGACAAAACCCATAAGTATCATTTAATGTGACATCACAGTGAGGCTAGATCAATATGATGGACCCATTAACTTCTGCTTGTGTCCTTGCTTTCAGTGTGTGCTCCGTTTAATTCCTCCACTCATCCGATTCAAAATAGATTATAGGGAGAATATGGAGGAGTTGTTGCATAATTTTTTGTGTACTGGAAACCTTTCCTGGTAAAGTGCAGTTTCAAGGCGAAATATGTCTTTGATTAATCACTGCACATGACAAATGACCCTCTGGTGAATGAGACAGCAATGGTCTGTAGAGACATTTTCACAATGAAATAAGAGATTCTAAGGGTATCCTGTAGTCGGTGGTTAAGGTGACGGAATAGCTTTGCTCCTTTATTACGTTTTAAAATTAACTCTTACATGGATGTACACAGTTTTCTGTCTTTACAGTGAGGGAAAATGGTCAGCCAAGGCTGAGAAGCTGTTCAGGGAATCCCTGTGTGTTTATACACCACTCTGCATTTAATTATTATTTGTTATTAATCTCTGGCTCTATTTCCCAGGGTGTTTTTGTCCTGTCTTCATCCACTCACCCCCAACCAGTTGTGGCAGATGGCCACCCCTCCCTGTGCTGGTTCTGCTGGAGGTTTCTTCCTGTTAAAAGGAAGTTTCTTCTTCCCACTGTTGCCAGAGTGCTTGCTCATAGCGGGTCATACGATTGTTGGGGTTTTCTTTGTATTATTGTAGGGTCTTTACCTCACAATACAAAGCGCCTTGAGGCAACTGTTGTTGTAATTTGGTGCCGTATACCGGTAAATTGAATTGAACTATTGGTTGCAGCAGAATCATATATGAACTCAAACAGAACTTCAGAAACAAACATCATGCTTTCTGTTTAAAGAAATAAAATGCTATTCAGCAGCCTCCTCGAGCTTTGAGGCACCTGGTGCTCTGTGAAAGTTTCAGTTAGGGCCGAGCTTCATTTGTTTGTGGATACTGAGATTCACGCCTTTGTGCTACTGGACAACTATAGCCAAGTAGGTCAAAGCTGGATTCTCATGTAAGCAACAACCCACAGACAGCAGGGACTTCAACACATTTGCATACCATCCAAATATCGTTCAGAGG